GACTTGAACCTATATGGGATACGATATGCATAGTAAAGACTAACTTTATTTATTCATATTGGATTCAATTTCAAGGGATCAACACCTCTATACTGTAGTACTGTACTAATACGTATTCGTACAGTATACGTATTTATAAGAACTGTTCACGACTAATTAAGCTAATTATAGCAACAATACAAATGGTATGCACCATTAAAATACAGTATATTATTGTAGCGTAAACCGGAAGTAAATAGAGAACGAGTGTATCTTTATGTTAATATGTATAGAACTATTTTAGCAACTCTTTATGGGACCATATGATAACAAGAAGAAACAAAAGGACATTGCACGTGATTTTTATTATAACACCTATAAGCTTTAAATTATTTATACTTAGAAGGAAACAATGTATTTTAAAGACGTCATACAAAAATAACGTAATAATATATTGTGTATATACACATGTTTCTTCCTCTTAAAATAATTAACAAATTTCTCTCACAAAAATTTTTCTTTGAGAATTTATACTTAATAGAATATGTCAAAAAATTCTAGTATGTTCATATAATTCCTTCTTTGTTATTGGGAATAATAATTTAAATTGTTTTAAAAATTAGTTGGCATTGACTTGGGAACCACCTATTCACGTGTTGGAATATGGAAAGACGATAAAGTTGAAATTATTCCTAATGATCATGGTAATCTCTTTACACCTTCGTGCGTTGCCTTTTCCTACGCAGGGCCAGTAATTGGTGATAATGCCAAAAACCAAATTTCAACGAACCTTTACAATACAATATACGATGCAAAACGACTAATTGGTCGTCAGTTTTGGGATCCAAAAGTACAATCAAACATAAAGGTGTTCACATTTTATTATTTTAATACAAATACAAAGTTTATATAAACATATCTGATTGAATTCACTTTATGAAAAATTATTTATAATATAAAATTTTATTCATAATAGTATTGGCCATTCAAAGTTATTAATAAGAATGGGAGACCCTATATTCAAGCTACACACAGGGGCAAAATCAAACAGTTTTCACCAGTAGAGATTTTATCAATGTTGTTATGCAAATTGAAAGATTCGGCTGAAATTTATCTTAAGGAACGAGTCACAGATGCAGTAATCACCGTGGATTCCAATTACAATTACCTACAACGTCAAGCTATAAGAGATGCTGCTAAAATTTCTGGATTAAACGTTCTTCGATTAACTAGCGGACCAATAGCAGCAACAATTGCTTACAGCTTAGATAATAGAGTTTCCGGAGAACGTGACATAGTTATTTTTGATTTTGGCGGTGGCTCTCTTGATGTATCTCTCATAACTATTGAGGAAAGAATATTGGAAGTAAAAGCAACCGCAGGAAATGCCCATTTAGGTGGTCAAGATTTCAATAAACGCCTTGTAAATCACTTTATTGAGGAATTTAAACGTAAATTTAAAAAGGATCTCACTACAGACAAGCGTGCACTATGTCGTCTTCAGACTGCTTGCGAACGTGCAAAATGTACACTGTCGTCATCCAAACAAGCTTTTATTGAAATTGACAGCATTTTTGAAGGGATTGATTTTCATACTTCATTAACTAGAAATATATTCGTAGATCTAAATGAAGATTTGTTTCGATACATTATAGAGCCTATTGAGACAGTGCTCAAAGATGCAAGAGTTGACAAATCACAGATTCATGAAGTAATATTAGTTGGTGGCTCCACACGCATTCCAGAGATCCGGAAAATAATTTCTGATTTTTTTAATGGAAAAAAATTAAATATGTCACTTAATCCCGATGAAGTCATTGCCTACGGAGCAGCTATAAATGCAGCCTATTTGTCTGGAATTCGCACAGAAAAATTAAAGGATTTATTATGTCTTAATGTTATTTCTCAATCACTTGGCATTGGGACAAACGACGGAGAAATGGGAAAAATTATAAAACGTAATAGTACAATACCTACAGAGAAAACCAGAATTTTTACTACGTATTTAGATAATCAAACCAAATTCACAATAAAGGTGTACGAGGGCGAAATAGCACGAGCTGTGGACAATAATTTACTTGGAGAGTTTGAATTTACTGGTATATCACCTGCGCCTAAAGGCGTATCTCAAATCGAAGTTACTTTCGACATTGATAGCAACGGCTTTCTTAAAGTACGTTGTAGTAATTATTGTTATTGTAATGTTGATATCAATAAATAATAACAAATTAACATAACCTTATACTATATTTATTATATATATTTACTAGGTATTAGCTCGAGATATAAACTCCGGACAACATAATAAATTTATCGTCACCAATGATAAAAATCGATTATCAAACAAAGAAATCGAACAAATGAGTATGTAGCTTATTTGATATTTTGTTACTTTATCGTTAGGTATGAATTATTATATATTCCAATTAATACAGTCGAAGATGCTAAAAAACACCGCGCTGAAGATCAAAGGGTTAAACAAAAAGAACAAGCACGTAATAATTTTGAAAGACATTTAGGAAATTTACAAAATATTTTTCAGGTAAACTTTTTAACATTTTGATGTAATTTGGGTATTAATGTATTAATGTTATTACTGCCTATTACTGTACATTATGTACATATGTATCTAATAAAAAAGGAAACTATTACATGGTTCGATGATAATCAAGAAGCAGAAAGGGAAGAATACGAGCGTAAACGCGAAAATATCATTGACCAAATATTAAGTGAACGCGAAGAATTCCAGATAAATAATTAATCAATTAGCTCATCATAATTTACAGGTAAAATATTTAAAGGAACTGTATTAAAAAATTATGACCTAGCAATTATTAATTTTTTTATAAATTTGTGTTGTAAATTTCATTGATGGAATAATTAAAGGACCATTCGAGTATACATTTTTTATTTTGTCAACAATACTTTTTATACTTTATATCTTATTGAAATACTGTACATTTGAATAATCAATTCGACAAATAATAAACTATATTTTTAAATTGATTTTTAAAAGTTTTAATTGTACTAATTTCAAAGTTCTTTGTATAATTATATTTATTATTTATGAATAATTATTTAATTATTAGAAATTTTATATATAAATATTATTAAAATGAAAAATTTATAAGTTTATTGTTTTAGAATCTAGACTTAGATATTTTAAAGTAAGTTCAAATATATATAATTAATTTTATCAAGGATTTTTTATCAATAAAAATTTTTTAACATTATCTTTTAATTAATAAGCTATATTGCATTTTTTAAAAACTAAAATTATTAATTTAATTTCTATTTTAAACAATAAAGTCAGATAATATGTTTAAATAATTTTATTATTATTATTATTTTGATTCATTATTGCTATCATTAACTTGTTTTTTTTATATTATTGAAATTTATGTTTTTTAAAAAGAAATGAATTATAATAAAGAAATAATTGTTATTTAAATACTGTATATAAATAAGATTAATAAATTAATTAATAAATTCAAGTTTGCTAATATCGATCAAATTAAATATCTTGACAAATTTTAATTTTTTTTAAAAAAAATATTAATATTAATATATGAATTCTGTTACCAATTAATTATAGAATTGTTTTTTTTCTTGGTAATATTATAATTTTATATCTAATTTATAATAAAAATTATTGATCCTTAATAAGTTAAAATTAAGCTTTAGCTTTAATTAATACAATAAATTGTTTTTTAATACAATAATAATAATTATTATTATTTTCATTGTCTCAAATTGACCAAATCTATGTAAGTATATCTAAATATTATAACATATTATATTAAAAAATTTCAATATAAAAAATACATGATTCGTGTAACACCACCCAATTATGTTATAATTAAAACTGTCGAGAAATTATAATTTTTTATGATTATATAAAATAGTAGAAACACACGAGAGGATAGACAACAAAAAATTTAAATAAAGATCTATATTATGACTCATTTTCTAACACATTCACTTACCTTGTGCTAAATCTAATGGATTGGCGATCTGCTCATAGTTACAAACTTGGCTAATTTCACCAGTGCAATAGTTATTTTTTGTATCATACTATTAAAATATCAAGCGAAGACATCATAAATTATCTATAATTAAATTCATGAAATTGTTCTAAGACAGTAATGGCTATCGCTTGATTTTAATTGATTTACAACACAGGATATTGGTAATTTTAATTCAAGAAATAATTCACGGCCGAGATTTTAGCCGAGGAGAAAATAATAGAAAAAGCAATTTAATTAACATGTTGTATATAGCTAATAATTAAAAAATAAATTCCAGTTATTATTTTTTTTTTCAAATGAATCGGCTAAACAAATCAATCAAAAATAATGGGAAGCAGAATTAAAAGGGGGAACAAAGCGTAAAATGTTGCGTCTACCTACTTTTGAAAAAATGAGTGTAACAGGGAGAAATGGGACGCGACGTTAGTCACATGACCGATAGACGTGACAATGGTAAGTCGGCTGTGATAATTAGGTAATAAAGGAAGGACGGGAAGGATTGTGAAAAGAATTATGTA